TCCAAGCTGGGTCAGCATGACATGACAATGAGGTGATATAAATAAGATAATTTAACAATACAGATGCGAATGTGGTTTCACATCCTTTGAGAAAAATCTGCAGAGCTTGCCATCTTCAAATATCAATCAGCAACAAATAACAGATCTTAACATACAGCACATAGTACATCCTTGCATATATACATTTTTTTTTTTTTTTGCCATACATTGTTTCCAACATTTTGCTCAAACATCCCTTTAGCATAACCAAATGTACCTTTTACATGTCAAATGAAGAAAAATATACCACATCAATGGAATAAGCACATTATAAATGAAACTAACCATTACAAAAAATATAAATGAATAATCCTTGAGTGACTGAGAATAACGTAAGACAGTAATATGAATACAATGTAACAAAAACTTTAAAAATAAAAAAGATAACTCCTAATGATTATACTGTACTGTCTAAACTCATAAGGAATATACTGTATGAATGAATATGAAATAGAACAAAACATAAGCACATTGGACATTTGCAAAGACCAGTAGGTCTTTAGTAGGTAGTAGTACCAATATGCAACATAAACTGAATACTACAAAAGTAATTACATAACCTTTTAAATAGCCAATACATATTTCTTACCGTTTTAACACACTTTCAGCATAAGCTCCTATAACTGAATAGCTCACACACACAAATCACAAGTCCATGCTTGTTCTTCTGGTGGCACATTAATGTTGAGACAGGGAACATGAAACCACCTCTTGCATGATTCACACTGAATCTGGAAGATAAATAGGACATGTTGTTAGATACATTTAGAAATTGTAGGAATTTTAAAAAGTAGTTGTGAGAACACTTGTTTTCACTTTACACAAGTAGCCAGTAGGCAGAAATGGCATGGTCAATACCCAGATGATTTGCTCCTCTGTTTGGCCTTTTTCTAATTTTCCACACACAGAGCAGTACTCCTCTCTTGACACTGCAATTATTAGAATGTAGATAGGATTATAATTAATCTCTCTGTGTCTAACATGGAAATAAACGGTTTGTTCAAAGTGCTTTATACCTGATGCCAGCAAAATGTCTTTGGCCAGATTTTTCCTGTAGTGGCACATCATCTCCTTGCTGGGTGTGATATTAATTCTGTCAGGAATTTTGGGGAACTCTTCCACCACCTGTTTGGCCATCTAAAAGGATAGTAGTGAAAAGTAACAGACACCGTCTCATATGGGAAAAGGTCAGGACAGTGTTTATGTAAACCACTTTTACCACTCATTTACCAGCATCACAAAGACACCACAGCTGAAACTGTCCTCCTGAAATGAATGTTTGATTTTGCCAGGTCTCCACTTCTTCTTCACCCAGTCTTTCTTTTCATACCTATGACTTCTCATTTGGAAAAAAACAGTGTGTGTGTTTATGTTAGTCTTAAGCAACACCAACTATGCTA